GACCTGACTGTGATTTTGCAAAGATTGGTACATCAACTGCGAGAAGGCGCATTGTCTCAATTTTAGGCCAGGTCAGTCAGGAACATCGCATCGCCATCAAGCACACACGACCTGAGTCAGGCATTCAAGTAACCCAAAAATCTCCGCTAACTATTTTTTATCAGAGGAAAACGAGCTTGTATAGGATCAATGGGTCATATTTTTGCTGTGATACCTCCCTCCCATATAAATAGTATTCTAACAGACACAGTCGATTCGCTTGGTTCAGCAGATTCACGGACAAGAATCCTGTAGGCCAGGTATTACCAGTCAGTAATGTCAAGCTTAGCAGGCAAAAAATTGCAATAGCTGTAGGCTGTGGACCACCACGGTGCTGACCAGGCTTTCTATTTGCCCACAGAAATTGGTGTGCGAGCGACAGAATAACGACGAAGCACATGCCTGCGCCTTTAATTGGCACCGTTGTCGTCACCAGATGTTGTCCTACAGGCTGGTGAGTTATTTACACACAAGAGGACCAATCCATTCTTACTGATTCGTCTGCCTCGCCGACGGCCTCCACACACGCTTATGGAAGCTGCAGTTCTTACTTACGAGGTGGTTGCAATTAAGACCTAAGTAATCTGTTATTATGCACAGAGTGGCCCTATTTAGGCCTCAAACTGTGCATTTGTTATCCTGTGGTGTTTTTACACCTTTTTCTTCGTTTATGCTCACTTGTTCTCGCTTTTTAGGCGAGCGTTGTGGCAGGAGAATCCACTTTTTTTAGGAAACGGTTCTCCTTTCAATGTGTGAGGATTAACCCCGAAATTGGGATCGACAACTTTTGCGTTTCCACCTGGACAATGCAGAGCCAAGTCCCATAACATTTTGCAGTACTGGACAGGCGGTCCTTCGCTGAATTTTTTCCTTATAACGGTCTCATTGTTTGCTCTCCAGGGGCAACGGTAACAGCTTAGACGTTTTTTGAGGAACTTTTTGCAGGCCTGTCTAGCATGGTCTGCGTTAACTGCTTGCACTCCGTGGAGATGGCGGGTAGGCATGGTCATCATTACAGGGCTTAAAACCACCACCACCACCACCACCACCACCACCACCACCACCACCACCACCACCACCATCACCACCACCACCACCACCTCACACTGCTTTTCCTCGCACTTTTACCCCTCCTACTTCTTCCTATTCTTATTATTTTCTAATGTAACAGTGCAATGATGTCTCCGCATTCACACTTGCGGCATGAAAACTAGCTTATAAGTGAGGCGCCGCCGATGACCTCCACACACGCTTTCAATAAGCAGTCTGGAATCTGCAGTTTTCGCGGATAGAAAGTTTGCGATTAAGAACTAAGCAATCTGTTATTTAGCACAGAGTGACCATATATAGGTGTCGACCTGAGCCTTTGTGATCCTGTAGTATTTTGACACCCTTTTCTTCCTTTATCTTCTCCTTTTCAGGCTTTTTAGGCATGCGTTTTGATCGGCAAGATTTAATTTCCCAGAAACGGTCCTCCCTTCAACATGTGCAGATGAACTCTGACGCATCCCGAAATGGTGATCAACAATTTTTGAGCCTCCGCATGGACAATGCTGAGTTCAGTCACATAAAGCTTTGCAATAATGAACTCCACTGAATGTTTTCCTAATAATGGCTTCATTATTTATTTTCTGGGAGGCAACAGTAACTGTTTGGACGCCGTTCAAGTTACTCTTGACAGGCCTGCCTACAATGATCTGTGTTAGCTGCGCGCACAGCGTGGAGATCGCGCTGGCTAGTTGCCACCCCCGGATGGAAAAACCGCACAGAAGTACACAGAACAAACTACCCACTCTGAAATCGACATAAGTTGATCCCGATAGAGATAGATGAGTAGTACTGGGAATATCAGCAAGGCGGAAACGGTTTGAACAAAAGTCGGTAAAATGTCCGCCACGTAATTTACTTGCACTTCTAAATGAAAAGGAGGATGCAGTGCGGCTAGTTTGAAAAAAAGTAAGGCAAGATGTGGTTATGTAGTCCCACCTGATGGACACAGTATTGTTTGGGTTGGGATTAGGGGTTAGCGTAAGGGGGTTGGGGTTAGGGCAACTATTTCTCAACCACTCAAAGTACAACCGCACATTCCCAATAGCTTTTCTTCCGCATACAATTACTGACCTCATCGCCTATGCGTTCCCCAGCCCCGCCTGTAAAAACCTCTATTACCACCGGTCCCGTATTACAGGCGGCTGGGGCTTTATTTACCTAAGGTGCGGCTACGTAACCACATCTGACCAAAAGTAAACAGTAGTAAGTAACTCTGTGGATTTTATTCAGTAAGGGCAGACAGTAACTTGGACTCCTGCAGGGCGCCCAGTGGAATGCCTGGAAGTTCTGGACGCAGTTTGTGTTCAGCATGCATCTTACCTTCTGTCACAATGCGCGCCATCCGTCCAAAAACCACACGCCCCCCCCCCGGAACCATTGTGGGCTTTAAGTAGCAGGAAGCACAGAGGAACGCTGGTGTTGGAGGCTTCATTTATGCAGCGAACCCATCGCGACGAATCACTTGTTTGGGCTTTTAGCTAATACCTGTGCCGTCAAGATGGTGGGCCGTTCAAGGCGCTGACCTTCGACTCACGTCAGGCTAACCATCTACGACCGCATACACACTTTCTGATTGCGCCGCTCCACCCACGAGGATTCACAAAGCTGGGAGAATGACAGTAACTGGATGCTAGTCAGCCCACTTTAGAAAACTACTACACATTAGGTGACAAGGCAGTAGACACTCTTAGTGTTTTCGTGGAGGGAGACACACTTTAATCGCGCACGCAATAAGCCTACAAGGTTAATTTTAAACTATACTACACTCCCTACGTAGGTTTTGTAAGTCTTGGTTGTTTTTTGTTAAAATTGGGCGAGGTTTGGCCCTGCAACCCCACCTGAGTGATACCATATGGTTGGATTTCTCAAAAATTGTAGTAGATGGGAATATGCTGACTTTACAAATATCACGTATTCGCATCTTCCTTACCAGTGACTGTGCGACGGGGAGAGGAGTGCTTATACGCTAGCTTCGATTACTCCAGGTACAAGTTCGAATGCGCTTGACTGTGCTTGCTTCAAGCCCTGCGTGCACCCTCTTTATTATTTCAGTCCAGCGAGCGACTAGGTGGACTTGGTAATGGAATTGTTCGGATGGTGTGGAACTCCGTCGGTTACACTACAGTGTCCATGCGCTGCGAAGTACCACACGGTCGTGGCCTCCCAGTTGTGATTTCGCCCTCCTTATCTTCTTAATCTAGCAAGAGGCTGTGCCGGGGAGAGAGTGTGTAGACGCCACCTTCATTCGCTTCCATGCGCGCGCTTCGAGCTCTGCTTGCACTCGCTAAGTTAGGTATGTTATCGAATATTGTTTTACTAAGTTAACCATACGGTATCAATGAAGTGGGGTTGCAGAACCAAGCCTCGCCTAAAATTGAAATTCGCGGCATATGCACACCCTCAACAAAATTAGCAAAATGGAGCACCATTCGGGTTTTGAGTAGGTACCAGCCGCTGAACGGCTACTTAGACTGGCGCAGGTAAGAATGGGAACTCCTCTCTCCAGGGGCGGAGGGGGTTGAGGAAGAGACTAGTCTTTGGATTAGGGCAGGGGAGTAGTTGTCAGTCCTGGAACTTGGCGCAAGGGAACCCTTAACACGGTGGGAGTTCCCACCCCCGTGTCCTATGTTTTCTGAATCGTCGCAGCGACTGTTTTCATTCGTTCCGTAACTATTCAGTTTGGTAAGAACGATCGGTGAGCGCCCCCTACAATTGTATATTCTCGATCGAAACCGACAGGACAGCGGGCCCCTGGCCCAGTGGTTAGAGGCTTTGGATTTCTAACTAACAGGTCGGGAGTTCGAGCCCCAGATGTTCCACACTTCGCGGTTGGGTATGACTGGCTGACGACGGCTAATAAGCCAGAAATGGCCATTCCAGTCTCCCTTGCCTTTGTCGGTAATACCATTCCGCCTAAATCATGCGCCGCTGTTCGGCTGCCGGCTGGGCTCGAGAGAGAGAGAGCCCGCAAGGCACAACGGAACGAGTGAGTTCCGGAAGAACGATCGGTGAGCGCTCCTACCACTGTAATACCTGATCTATAGGATTCTTGTCTGGGAATCTGCTGAACCAAGCGAATCGACTGTGTCCGTTGGATCGCTCTTTATATGGGATAGAGGTATCACAGCAAAAAATATAACAAACAAGCCTGTTTTTCTCTGATAAGAAATAACTAGCGGAGATTTCTGGTTCACCTGAATATCTTACTTAGGTCGTGTGTGCTTGATGGCGATGGGATGTTCCTGACTGAAATGACCTATAATTGAGCCTGCGTCCCACCTCTGTGTGGAACAGTCGTTGCAACGGCTCCGGAAGCATAGTTTTGGAAGACATAGTCGCAGAAGGCAATACACCGTGGGAAGCGGCTGTGCGTGCCTCTTCCACTGACCTATGCCGTAAGGCCACCACCTGTACTACGGAAACTATTATTTTTACCAGGGAAAAAACGGATTTTTGGACTATGTAGGAGAGAAAAGGAAGTATTCGCGCCTCATGCTCAGTGCAATGCGCACTAGACGGCTACATGGGGACACACACAACCGTCCCATCCGCGAGTTTTGTAGAAGAATCATGTGCGCCCGCGATTAGGGAGATACACACAGCCCATTGGTTGAAAACTGGAATGGGAAGGCATCCCGTAGGGAGTGAGATGCATGCGACGGCTCTCCGCCCGACGGGCTCACAGATGAAGCACATATCACCCATAGGGCACCTTCAACCTCTAGCCAGAGAAGTCCTTACACAACCACCTCGAAACCGTACACTCGTCTGCAGTCTCTTTTGACCCCCGAGGCAATAAGGTTCTATAAGTAGGCCGGACGGGCAGCCAAGGCAGGGTCACGCGTAGATGCCTTCAGGCCGAGGTGGACACCAGAGTGTAGCGATCCGGTGCGGCAGGTGATCACAGTGAGAGCCCCTGGTGCCAAAATACCAGCGACGCCGCAGCCCGGCTGTCAAATCGTGAAAATCCGTGACGAGCGGGACACCACCCAGATGAGACTGTGTCACGCCACAAGGAGCGCTGACCCACGGAATTAACTACACTAACCCCCCATATCGAGTGTGCCAGCTCACATCGCCGCGAGGTACAAAGGCCGTCACCACGCCGGAGAACTATTGTGGGCCAGGCAGCACAAACAAGACCTAGCCACGGACGTAGTCCCCTCTCCCCTCACGGCACAACCATAAAAATGTTCACACGTTGCTGCACTCTAACAGTCTCTTTTTGATGATGAACTCTTGTTCGAGTTCGGAAGCTAAGGCCAGTAAATTTGCCGTCGCAGTGATCTTGCCTTCGTCTTAAATAAAAAAAACAGTTTATAAGACGACCATCAAACGGAAATGCCTATTCCTATCCCGCAATCATGATTTGTCAAGGGCCACTCTGATCCACTTCCCCCAGACCGTCAATTTACAACTACGAGTAACAAGCCTAGTGACACGGGAATAGGAATAGCCCACACAACGGCTGCACAACCCCTCCCCCCTAGCAGTACCAAGGCCTTGAGTTTGCTAGCACACGCTCAGGAGGCGTAGGCAGACGAGGAACCCGCTCACCACTGGGCTGAAGGTATGCGTCAGCCAACCAAAATCATGCTTATTCGTTTGAACCAATGGCCGGTCTCAGAATGCCCTCGAGGGCTAATTGGCAGAACTTTTGTCCAACGGGAAAGCGAATGAGCCCTCTGCGAAGACAAATCACCATGACAGGCAGCCGGCTGGGCTGATTGGTCCAGAACATCTAAACCACTAGGCAGGACCTCGTGGACCACATTATTGGCTGCAGACGAGACAGCAGATGCGGATTCGACAATGAATTCCGTACATAAGCTCGAGTGTCCGCGGCTAACCAACACTCCGCGTGCCTTGGTCGCTTCTTGGTGAGTCGGTTGGCGTTGGTGTATCTAGCTTACCCGTGTCCGTTGACTTCCCCTAGTTTGCCAGTCCCGTACACTCTCAATGCCCGTGGGCTGGCCGCCACCGCCCTGTCACCGGGGTTTTCGTCCTTGGCGCCACCCTAGGGTTGTGGTGCGGCTGGCTTATCCCGCGAGGTCATCCTTTTTTGCTCGGCACTCCGGTGCCCCTTTTGCCTGTATGCGGCCGACTAACGTTCCGTGTCCATTACTTTCAGTTACGCTCCTCTCCAAAACCAACAATGAGGTAATTCCCCGACCTGTCCCCCTTTGCTCGTCTTGCCGTTCATTCCCCTGCCACATCCCCCGCCCCCACCCGTGAGACTTCTCACCCGTGCCGGCTCTTTCTCCTTCACAGCTTCCCAGACGCCGTCCGCAAGGTCTTCGACAGCCTCGACACGGACAAGTCAGGCAAGATCAGTGTGGCCGAGTTGAAGAAGGCCCTCGAGGGCGAGTGCGGACACGCGCTCAAGGAAGAGGACGTGAAGGCCTTCGTTGCCCGCCTGGACAAGAACAAGGACGGCGAGTTAAGCATCGACGAGCTCAATGCACTCTTCGAGTAACTAGTCCATATTCTTAAGAGTTAAGTTTGCCAAGCTCAATAAATCTGAATTGACAGCCTTCTTGCCCCATACCTGCTGGAGATTCGCTGCGTGATTGGTGTGCGTCCGACCAGCTGCGATGGGGACGCGTGGCGGATTTCAGGGTCGCTTGGGCCACGGTTCCGGCCGCAGGGGCCGGGGGTGGTCGGTCCCAGCTTTTGCGGGCGGTCGGGGTGTACCTCGGCGCAGGCTGCTGCTGTGGTATCTGGCTGTGGAGCCCCGGCTCGCGTCAGTAATCGGGGGCCTCGCGGGGCCGTTGCTGCCCGTGCCGAGGCCCACAGGGTTTCTGGCGCTCCAGGCCGTACACACTTTCGGGTCGGCGGCGGCGCTCCGGTCGGCTACTGGGGACCAACGCTCGGACAAATCAGACAAGCCCTTCCAGCGGCGTCCACAGGGCAGCGGCGTGCGAAGAGAGGATAGATGAGCTTTCGGTGGTCGGGGCGGCTCGACTTATTGGCCCACGGCGGCGTGGTGGTCCGCTTTGGGGGTTGATTTGGCCCTGGCATGCAACCCCGGTGCGGCTTGTACCGGTCGGTTGGGACAGGCGAAGGCCACCGGGACTCCGGCCAGCGCTCTATTCACGCGGGAAGTTGCCCGTTAGACGCCACCACTTAGCCGGAGCACCCCGTACCCTGGAGGGGGGGGGGATGCCTCCACGAGGTCTAGGGGCTCGGCGTCAAAGGGGTATCGTGCCCGGATGCGCCTCTGCGGTCCGGCGCGCCCTCCTGTCGACTGCCAGAGGACCGCGGGGCGGTAGTCGGGGTCTGGGCTCTGGGGCCCTCCATAATGACCGGGCAGGGCCGGCCTGGGCCTCGCGTCCTGTACTAGCACAGGACTTAACGCGGGCGTCCTCTCCGTGCGGGGCCCTTAGTGGTCGGCCGCGGGACTCCCTGCACTTCCGCGGCGTCTGCTTGGCGCGGGACATGCATGCTCGGCCTCCAGGGTTTTCGCGGGCCTCGTCTGCCTTGTCGCTCCGCTCAAGGCTCTTCGTGATCTCTGGGTCGGACTCCGACCGTGACCTTCTATGGTTAGTCTCCGCAGAGGCTGCCTGCACGCCCACGTCTCCTGATATCCCTTGATGGCCCCGCGGCTGAGCCTTCCAGTTTAAAGTGGCTCACCTCGCGGGCACTGCCTTGGCCCCGGTGAGGCCGTGAAGTGCGACGACCTACCGCCCGCACGTATTGTTCCGGGAGCCCTCCGCCTAGGGGTGCTCGAATTGATCTTCCAGGAAGGGAACGAGGAGTCAGTGGTCGGGCCATGCGTGGCCGGGATGCTCCCGGTTGTCCCGCGGGTTCGATTTGCCTCCGCCTGCCCGAACTGGTCAGCCGTGGAAGGGACGGGGTTGATGAAGGTCCCCCCAAGCATCTGTGGCGGACAGAATGCTACACTTATCTAAAGGAGTTCTATCTCGACGCGGTTATTTCGGTGTGGTGTTCCATCATGCAAGGCTGGGTTGTCTGGTGGGTTATCTGCAGTGACCTCAGCTCAGAGAGTAGGGAAGCGGTCGCTGTAGGCGCTTAGTGTTTGATTCTCTAATTGTCCTGCTTGATTTCGGTTGCTATGTCAATGCATTAAAACCTTCCCCATCGGAAAACGAATTTACCAGTTATCTATGCTTATTTCGCCATTCCATTATGCATGCACGGACCCCGCCCGCAAAACCCCTGTTACCACCACCGTTTTTGGTTGGTCATGCATGTTTGGGCTCATTCACCTGATCGTTGCCGGGAGGGGCTAACGCCATCGCCAGTAAGTTAATAAGCAGGCAAAGCCGGTCTGAATACCAAGCCCGGCCTTGCGGAGAACTGCTCGAAGTCGTCGCGGTCACCCGGAGTCGCGTTTGTCTGTTTACCACGCCAAGCAGTAGCGCCAGCCGAGGACGCGCCGGCGGTGGGTCTCCCAGCGCCCCCCAGGTGACATTTGGCGACCAGCCTAATTAGCTCCCTCACTCCTCCAGGGGATCTAACTGCGAGTTCAGCGTAGGTCCACCGACGCGGTACTCCTGAGGTTCTGCCCGGGCAACTTTGGTTGGGCTTCGTCAGCTCCAGCAGTGCGCGACCATGTGAGAATGCACATTCTGTCAACGGGGGCATCCAGCAGCATGGAAACACTAGTCGGTTTGTCATACTCCCGCCGAGCCAAACGTCTCCGACTTGCGTCATACGGCGGCACGGAACCGTCGGAGCCCCTGTCGCTTATGGCGAACCAGTCATCGCTTGTACAGTACCGATCACCGATGAGAGCAGATTGCTGAAATTATGGGGGCAACTCCACCGACTCTAATCAGTCCCGGGCTCAGAGATTCGTGTATCCCTGTCTCGAGCGCCACCTTCCGAGGATTTCTCGTGAGGGCTACAAGTTACTGATCTATGAGATAGGAGACCTCGAGGCCGTCTGGGCGCACAGGGAGGGGTGTATGCGCCGGACGGAGCTGGAAGCCACTAGATCCCTCCTAATTACCGCATTGAGGCCCAGCTCACGCCTCACAAGGGCGGCCGACTGACCTTCAAAACGACCTTGTGCGCGCGCGAGCGAAGTGGCGCGACGGGGGGCGGCATAAGTGGTGTGCGTGACGGTGCGGACGTGCGCACATGCGCGTACATTCACGGCTCGCGTGTTATGTCCATAATGTGTAAATCAGGCGAGAGAGATGGCTGGGGAGTGTGAGAGGGCCTTGGAGTAGTGCCGCAAACAAAGCATACCCCAGGTGCGCCTAGATCGCGTGTTTCATGCATACGGGGCGGCGCGTGCGTGCGTGCGTGCGTACATACGGTCCGCGAGAGCAAGGTGCATTTGCATCCACGTCTACTTCGAAGTTTGGGTCCCATAGCATATGATAAAAAAATTTCGTCTACAAGTCAGAGGTAAGTGGGGGGACACAGTGTGAGAACCACTCGCTCATGCCAGGACTGGCAGACAGTTTAGTGGCGTAGAAAGACGACGTTCTGCATGAGTTTTGGCCCAGAAAATCCTTCCCCCCCTTAGATGTCGGGTGGCTGCTTGTCTAATGTGCCTTTCGGGGTACGCGCTACAACGAGAACTGCAGTAGAAGTCCCCTGGTGCCAATTAACCCCGCGCAATCTGGTGTCCCCGAAGGTATTTTAGGTGAATGAGGAATCGCCACAGTTTGGCGTTTTTCTTGCAAGTTCTTCGTACCCTTTGCCTAATTGAATCCAGGGATAGGGGGGGGACACTTCTCGCACGAACGCCATAAGTGGCTGTAGTTTAAAGGCCGTTGGCTAGAAAACCACTTCCCTTTCTTTCAAGGACCGTCAACTACGTGTATCAGCGCGATAATGGCGAAGGAAAGGGCGCGGAGAAGTCCGTATTAGGAAGTCTTGACAAGGCTTCCACTTGAAACTGCAAATCTGCCCCAGTCGACCTCTTCTGCCGTCGGTTTCTCTGAGGGCACGCCAAAGTTCCGGAAATTAGTCGGACCCAGAGCGTTACAAGAGGAAGATATCAGTGCTGAGACTAAACAGTAATCGGACGTGGGTTTTGTCCTGTACTGTGAGCAGGAGCTCCTGTAAGCTGATGACCATCGTAAGTTTCGTGTTTAGCTGTTAAATAAAATCCCCAAGTGTGTCAAAAGCTGAGCACGCCAACCGGTCCCCGCTGCGATGTGGTCATGCGTGTGGAGAGTGCAGGTCAGCTTGATTTAAACATCTGCCGGCAAAGGACCTGCGCAAAAACGCCGTTTGTCGTAATACAATTAACTGTACTAGCACAACTGGCTCGCTCTAGCCTCGGGGACCTGCTATCAGTCCCTCGGTTCGGGTCGCGACACGGAAGTCCTCGTTGTACTCGCACACGTCAGGGGCCGTATTAATAGATTTTTGTATCTCACAAAGACTAGCTTGCCTAGCCGGGCTTCTTTGGCGTAGTCTACGCTCGCGCCCCCACACACACCCTCCCCCCCCATTTCTATCGATCTTGGGTGCACCCACGTATCAATATTGTCTACGCACTCTGTCGGTTGAGTGCAGGCGCCAGGTGCCGCTCGCGGCTCGACTGCGGTGACGCTGTCCCGATCGAAAACGTTCACTCAGCTGATTGGCTGCAGAAAAGCGTACTTCGGCTCACGCGCACACCGCACGCCGATACCAGCAACGGCGTGATTGGACAATTGCTGCTACTGTTCTCTGGGCTTCCTGCACACTCCATCCTATGGTGAAGGCTGGCCTGCCTATTCCACCTCTCTGAATTTCGACTTGGGGAACTCGCTAGCGTTCATCCTCCTTTTCGGCCAGCCGTGAAAGAGATCAAAATCTGCGACCCGTAACCAATATGCTTACTTATACTCTTCAGTTAGTCCGACAACTCGGAGGTTCTCAAACCAAAAGGCAAGGAAGACAGAGTTGTTGGACAGACTTTAAAACTCAGCAGGTATAATGGCAGCAAGTGTCGTTGCCAGTCATGTTAGTCATTTTACGTGGGTTCGTCCGGACGCGAAGTGTTTGTGACTGGGATAAATCGATGGAGACGGAGATATCGATCGAAGTCACGGTGTCTGTGACCTAGAGCTTGCGTCACGCGTGCGTAAGCGGTACTCTTCAGGCGGCGACGCTGTCCACCGTTAGGGTGGGCGGGGAGAGCTACAGATTCGTCTGAGACTGTCAGTCAGGAGAGCCGCAGGCTCGCATCTTGCGCGTGTGCCAGTGTAGGTGGATGCGGCTAGGTGGTGGATTCGCGTCAGTTAATGCAAGTCGTGAACCATTAAATTACTGGGACCTTATTTCGGGGTTGCCTCGGCATTTTCCAGGTAGGGAAGCCCTAACAGACTTCGGTTTAATAGTATTTATCAGCCATTAAACAGGCCTCGTTCAACAGGCCACGTGGGCGTTTCGCCAGACCAACATAGGCTACGGCCCGTCTTGTCGGCAGCCACACTCATAACAAATGCCATGCATGAGGGTGGTGGTGGCACGTCTATGCGCGGACGCGCGTCGCGCCGGCCATCT